CTTTACTAGTTGCTTGTGTAACTTTACTTGCGGTGATACACAGATGCTTAGTGCCGTGTGTGAGTATACGCGGGTTATGATGTTGAGTGCTTGCTGTTTGATCTTACGGTGTTTCTCCTTCCTGTGGTGTTCTTGGAGATATATCGGCGCCTACTTTTTTTGTCCCACGATTTGCCTCCATGAATTTGTGGCATGTTTTCTTGGAATTTGCTTGTTGGACATTTGCACACTTACACTTGACTTTGATTGCTGTGCTTGCATGTTTGCCAGCTACTGGCTTTTGCAGACATCTGTGCACAGACCCGTGCAGCCATGTCGTGGCCACATTCGCATTATGGCCACTTTGGGACTGGATCTTTGAATCCTGGTTGGGCTGGCGCTGCTGCACACCAACATCTTGGCATGCACACTGCTCCTTTCCAAGCTCCTGTGCCTGGACCACCTCCTCCAGGGGCCCCGCCGGGGTTTTGTCAACCTTCTATAAGGCGGGGGCGGTCTAGATCGCGATCACCCCGCGGGAGGCGTGCATCTCACAGGCTTCCGCAGGCCAAGGACTTGAAAGGTGACATGGGAAAAGACGAGTTCAACAAGTTGGTCTTGGAATGTTTGCTCTTGCTTTCTCCCGGAGACTTTGCCGACATTTGGGTTGGCATTCCCCGTGAGCTTCGGGCAGTAGCATGGCGCCCCCCCCACCGGGCATCATTGTGGATATTGATTCTTTGAAGGGCGTTGACCGCATCCAGATGTGTTCCAAATTGAATGCCTTGAGACGGGAGAGATGCATCCAGCTGGCTTCTCCAAGGCAGCAGTCACACTTTGAGGACGAGAATTGGACCATCACTCCCATGTCGAGGCTTTGTTGTTCACGTTTTGGGAGTGTTTTCGTTTGCTGCCGCTGACTACCACGAATGAATCCAAGTGGAAGGCAACTGTGAAGTACCTTTCCAAATGCCCAGAGAAAGCCGATTCCTCGGATACCTCACGGCACATTGATGCCAGCACTCGTGCCTCGGAGTCACTTGGTGAAGCTGTTGCTCCTGACCGTGTGCCGGGGCCCAAGTTGGCAACTCCAAAGAAAGGCCTGGGAGGATTATCTGCTTTGGCTGATGCTACTCCACTGAAAGCTGGATTGGACGCCCCTCCGGCCGACCGTAACAGTGAGGAGTTCGCAACTTGGGTTTCTGCTAGGATTCAGGCTGATGTGGATGGTTTATCTTTGGATTCATTAGAGGTGAAGCATGCAAACCGCTTTCCTTGCAAGTTGAAGCCCAGTGCTGCTTTGAAGACCCTTCCTCCTTTGGATGTCATGAGCCCCATTTACCAGCACACATTTCAGTTCTACTTGCGCAAGTTCAAGGCTTTGCTGACGGATGTGAGCCTCGGATCGGCCCCAGCTAAGTCCTTGAAGCGCTTATGCGATGCATTGAACTTGGAGGTGCGGGGCAAAGACAGTCAAGTTCCAGAAGTGCTCGCCCGATTGCGGGCCACAGACATGGTACAATGTCCCCCGTGACGGGGTGAATGTGAGGACCAGGAGCACATAGCTTCGGCTTGTGGCGCTGCCCTGTGCTTGCTTGCACTGTTGCGATTTTGGCTCCTGGGACTCACTAAGGGAAAGATGGAAGCTGAGGAGATTATACTTCGCATCTGTGCCAGTGTATGGCTCTGCATGCTTCAAGCGCAGTCATCCCGCAGGTCTTTACACCTGCTTAAATCTTTGGGTGGCTTGCCTTGGAATTTTTTCATGGGAAACTTTGTGGCATGGCTCTGTCATCTATGTGTGTGTCCCGATGTTCCCACAATACTCTTCTTTTGGTCCCCTCGCCTACGTCGGTGAGACAGACAATTTTGCCAGACGTGTGAATGAGCATTCTTGTCGATTGCTTGCTCCCAATGGCGCTGTACAGCAACCCTTTTTTCCATTTTGTGAGAGCGGGAGAGTGTGCTCCCCACCTCATGCGGCTGGCAATTTGTGAGTGGATCTTTTTTTCCGGTTGTCCCCGCACCTGGTGATGGTTGTGCGCGGAGAGCATTAGAGGCAGACTGGATTCGGAAGATCGGTGTATTGAACCCACCTCGGGTGCACCGCTTGCTTCGGAGCAATGGTGTGACTAGCAGGAGTTCACTGGTCTTTGGGAGAAACCGCCTGGTTTGCAGACTGAGGGCCAAGACGTTTCCTTCTCCGCAAATTGTGTGCGGGCAGAAGCTTGCTCATGATGCTTGGAAACAAGGGTTGCAGCGAACCGCTGCTGCGCTTGCAGGACATCGTTTTCCTGGCTGTGGACTGTGTGCTTTGGCTGCTTGGAGGTTGTCGAGGTCAGCTTGGGTGTATGTAGTGCAGCGTGTCACCAACAACGAGTCAGGGTGGCGCCGAGCACGGGCCTTGCGCGTGTTGCGTCGGATTGCTGGCATTCGAAGAGACTTGCCATCCCCCATCGCTGTCATTTCTTGTGACATTCCCTGGGTTGGGTCGCAGCAAGCTCGCAATTTGGCCGTGCACGCGGTGCGTTCTTTGGTGGCCTCATGGCGCAGGGCGGGTCATTGGTTACCTATTTTGAGGCATGCGCGGATTCGTTTCCGGTGGGCAACTACGCCCTCTCTTGGTAGCGTTCTTTGCAGCCGTGACTTCTTTGCAGACTTTGCAATGGTGAGGCCGCCTTGTGTTTGTCGGGAGTTCCTGCTGGCAGACCCCACCTGGCCCACGGTGACCGTGGATGGTCAAGTGCACATTGCTGCATCCCAGGCTCGGATTCCATGGCCACGGCACTTGCGGAAGTTCAGAGAATTACCAGCCAACTTGCGTTTGCCACCGAGGCGGCAGCAGATCGCAGTTGCTGTGAAGCAAATGCTTCGTCGACTGCGGGACCGTTGCAAGCTGGCGGATGAGCCATGTTGGGTCGAATCCGTTGTTGCCGATTTGACTGCAGCTTTGCAAGGGCTAGCTGCTCAGCGCTCTACCAGATTTCCTGTTTCGTGGCTGGAGATTTCACTGGCCCGGGAATTCCTCAGGCCTTTCTTCACGCAGGTCTTTGACCACAACCTGTCCCGTATTGGTGTGTTTTGTCCTGCCCTAGTACACGTCCAAGCTTGTGCAGCTCTTGATCTTGGTGATCATGGCACGGGGCTGGATTTTGCTTGGGAAGCTGATACGCGGAGGGCTGAAGTGATGGCTACCATGGCAAAGATTGAGGGCCTCCCGCCGCACTTGCAACCAACGCGGCTGTCCTTGGTACCAGCCAGATCTTGGTCTATCGGAACTCCCGTTTTTCTTCCAAAGTGGAAGGGTCCAGGAGTGAAGTGGCGCCTGCTAGTGAACAAGCACCACGCGCCGGCGACTGGTTTGCACTCGGCTGTATCTAGAGCCATTGATGTTGTTCTGGACAATATGCCCCGCGAGGCTTGGTCCGATTTTCCATCAGCCAATGCCTTCTTGGGCATGGTCTCGGACTTCAACGCTCTTGTGAAGAGCATGTTCATGGAGCCGCGTGGGTGGATTGCAGCGATGGACATGGTTGATTGTTTCCACCACCTTCCTTGCTCCGAAGCGCCGTCTATTTGGGATGCTCTTTCTACCTTTTGGAGCGCCCGACATGTGGCTTACATCAGTGTGCCTTTACGAAGGGGCGGTGGTGCTGGTCGCCTTGGTCTGGTCTGTGACGCTGGCTGGGTTTGCTTTTCCTTCGCAGAGATTCGGGAGGTGTTGATGCACTTTACCTTGACCAACTTTGTGGCTCTGCCCGGCCTCCTCGGGCGTGAGCTGCGTGGGGCTCCAATGGGCGATGCTTTGAGTGGGGCAGTGCTGCGGCTCTTCAAGTGGAGTAGGGAGGCTGCGCAACTACCTGTTGAGAAGGCAGACACTGTTTGTTTCCGCAGGTCCTGCTCAAAGCTGGTCCATCTCTGTGGTTGCAACATGTTGGTCCTTGACGTCAGTTTCCGGGACGACTTGCGCATGTTTTGCGTGTGGGACGGGCAAGCCATCATTGATAGGGAAAGGGTGGCGCAATGGGCTATCTCCAGGCTGCGCGCCCGATACCACTACGGCACCATGAGCTTGGAAGAGTGTGAGTTTCGGACATTCATTGGTTTGCGGACGGAGTTTGGAGATGAGGGCCTTTTTGTTGCCCCTGTCTTCCCTGACCCGTTCGGAAGCTGTAGCTACCACACGGTCGACATGCGAATTTTGCAGCCATGGTCATCGTGGACCCCCCGTTCACAAAGGACGGCGGTCATTAAGGGATGGCTGTGCCGCATCTTTCATTTGTCCAGCTGCTCCGAGGGCAGGGCTCTTGCCTTTGAAGAGGCTTTTTTGTCTTTATGTTCTTTGGCTGGATTCCCTAAAGACCTGCTTGCCAGGGTGACCAGAGATTGGATCCTTCGCTGGGTGTCCGCAAAGGATGCCCGTGCAGTACAGTGCGTAAGACTTGAGGTGGAGAGGGCATTGTGGCGATTGCGTTAAAAAGTTTGCCGTCACTCATTTCACTTGCTCTTACTTGCTGTTTCTTGCTGTGCACCCCTATGGGTGCTATGTGGGGGCGATCCAGTGCAGCGTTGCTGGCTGGGTCACTGTAAGGTGCTGAACTCCCCT